TATCTATAATAAATATAACATAATATTTTACAGGGAGACATAGCTACATGTGCAGCTACTTGGTTACATGTATGGAGTATTAATGGTGAAGAACTTGCTAGTGTTAATACATGCGTTGGTCGTGCCGATAGAATGCAGCAAATTCTATGCGTAGCTTTCAGTCAAACTCATGAATGGGATTCACAAAATGTTATTATGACTGGATCGACTGATGGTGTTGCTCGCGTAAGAACAATATGAATTGTAAACATTGAGACATTTAAAAGATACTGTGCGCAAGTGAAAAAATATATTTTTATAGATGTGGTCGATGGATTATGTACAAGTGCCTGCAGAAGAAGAGAAACCAGAGGAAATTATTACTATCAAAGAAAAACATACGAAGTCAAATAAAAATGAAAGTCAAAATGAAAGTACGAAAAAACGAGTGCACGAATTAGTTAAACAAATGAGCATTTCTGCCGAAGGATCAAGCTTACTTGCAAAAAGCGGTTCAGAAGCATCAAGACTACACGAAGAAAAAGAAGCATGCTCAGATAATGAGTCGAGTAATGGTTCCAGCAACAAACCATCGCCACAAAATAATAATACCCCCACTATTGTACTTCGAAGAAAAAGTCGTGGAAATCCAATGTTTCGTAAAAGTGAAGGCGGTGGACGTGCAGATAGTGAGGGTACTCAAACGAGGTAATATAACTTATGTTCTTTGGAATGTGTACATTATAATGATATTAACTAAATTACTTTATAGTGAGTCATCTAATAATCCTGGGGATTCTGAAGGAGCACTACGAGCTAGTAAAAGTGATACTAGTTTAACAGATAGTTTCGTAATGGTTGCCGAAGCTGATGTGAAACCTAAAAAAATTAATCCACAAAATATCTTAAGAGATGGTTTTAAATGGCAACGGCAATTAGTATTTAGAAGCAAATTAACCATGCATACTGCATATGATCGGAAGGATAACGCCGAGCCAGCGTCTATAACAGCCCTCGCAGTATCAAGGTAAAATATCCATACCTTATTATTATTATACATTTGAAGAATATAAAAAATATTAATTAAATTACAGAGATCATAGGACAGTCTATGTTGGAGATACGAGGGGAAGGGTTTTTTCATGGAGTGTATGTGAACAACCAGGGCGTACGGTGGCCGATCATTGGCTTAAAGATGAAGGAGCAGATTCATGCGTTGGTTGTGGAGTTCGATTTAATCTTTATGAAAGGAGACACCATTGTCGTAACTGTGGACAAGTATTTTGTTCAAAGTAAGCTACTATATTTATAATAATTACTTTAATTATTTTATTATATTATTGACATGAGTATTTTGATAATATTTTTTAAATTTTATATACAGATGCAGCCGATTTGAATCGAAAATATCGAGACTCGGGATTTTAAAACCCGTTAGAGTTTGTCAAGGTTGTTATTCGTCATTACGTTCTCAACATTCTGCTGAGAGCAGCACTTAAATATAGTAATGTATTGTATGGTTTTATATAAGTTATTGGTTTTAAAACGGGTACAGCGAGAATGTACATAGTCACCGCAATGTACCCTTTTGTTTTTATCCGAATTTTTGTATAAGAGAAACGAAGCGTCCATTTCCTTTCTTTTCCGCATATCATGCGATATCTTGTCTTAAAAGACTCTTGCATTTCTACGAGAGACGCAGGAAAACTGCATTTTCATATAATTGATATTTTTAGTTTTAATAATTTTTTTTATATGGAGTGAAATCATTTGCCACTTTTCTTCATGAAATAAACGCTTAACATTACAATACATTCCTGTCGATTTTATAATATTGCTTGTGTATACTTTTTAATATTATAATGAACTAAGCTCTCTCCTAACATTAATCGGCCTGTTTCAACTTATCGACAGGTTTGTACTGGACAAATTTTAAAAAGAGTATTTAAAGGTTGACATGATATTTAAGTCTTTAATTCATAAATCATATGTCGTAAAACACGGACATTTCCTTTGTTTCCAATATTTAAATCTTAATCATTTCTGATACTTTTCCACATCACGTGTGTTTATATTTTACATGCCGAAGAACAATATGTACAGTCGCATTCTATATTGTGTATTTAATTTATACGCTATACTTACATTTTTAACAACAAAGATAAACAAAATCATGTATAGCATCACTTGTTTAATATGCGTAGTCTGTGATTTTTCTTTCCTATTTTAATTTAACGAATTTATGATTAAATTTGAAGATAATCATTATTATTATTATTAATAATAATAACAACAACAATAATAATATATAGAATATTATACTATTTATGCGATTAATTTCGTTGTTATAACGCTTACATCGTTTCTCATATTTGAATGTATTAAATAATTATTGTTAATATTTATTTTAAATTATAATGAAAAATAATACACGATGTCAATACTGTTAATGGAAAAATATTAGATTTAATATTACTAGATTAACCAAAAATTATATATCTACCGTGTATTATTTGTACTGCCCTCTTTTACATTACGTTTTACATATAATTATTACTTGATAAATGTTTTTGTTTCCTTCTTTACAATATCATCATGTATATAATGCAGTAATAATACGCGGTATAATTTATTCTAAAAATTATCAGTGGTGTATCATTTATTACTGTATCATGAAAGACAGGTCTTTTATTTTTCCATCCCATAGAATTGAAAACACTAATAGTCTTGAAATTGAAGAATATATGTATTACAATTCAATGAAAAAAAAAAATATGCAATGCAGGTGCACCCTTTGTGACCGCTGCCTCTACCGGTATAAAACTCATAACTTCATAATAGACAATACCTTAATTACATTAAAGTGTTACTAACTATAAGATGGTTATAAAACCATAGACTCTAAAACCAGCAGTAATATTGTAAGCAATGTCATAAATGTGGAATATGCTCGTTTGTTCACAAATTGATATATCACAAACGTATCTGTAAAATTAATAGAAAAAATGAAGGTAAATTAAAAACGTGTTCTTGGATAAGTGTTTTGTAGAGTTTTAAAAATGGTAAAGAATTACAAATGCAGTATACTTTTGGGAAAATTAAGTTTCTCTAAAGTTAAGCAAAATTTATGAATACCGACGAAAGATACAAGAATTTGTATAAATACAAAAATCACGGTATTAAAAAAAAAAAGAATTGTCTCCCTATACGAATAATGAATTCTACCATTTGTATTCTATCGATACACTTCCATTTTTCTAAAGGCACAAATTTTATAAAGAACGAGAATAAGAGATAGTGTGACAACTGAAAACTGAGAATGAAATCAATGCAGCTTAAATATGTCGTCGAATATTGTTTCGATGTGGTATTAATAGCGTACATTGTTACTAGTCAAATACAATGTGAGCACAATGTTGACGAGTATTCTTTCAAAAAGAATGCCTTTGATATGACGATTGAAAATAGATAATGCTGGGAATGGTGTGAATGAATTTCAATATTTGAATCTCTTAATTATGTGATCGCATAAAGAGAATTTACCACGTATCTTATGCAAATAATATCTGTGTGTCATTATTACATGCCAGTTCTAATAAAACATTGCCAACTATCTTTACTTTTGTACTCCTACTTATATACACGAAAAACAAAACTTATACTTAGTTTTACAATGGAATTGGAATGCTTGCAGTTATTTCTAATTATAGAATGTAGGTGATCATTTTGAAAAGAATTTTTTACTGTTATTTATCTCTTCAGAATAATTCTAAGTGATATACAAAAATAGTTCCAAAAGACTAAAATCATATTACAAAAAAAATTGAAACAAAATGATTATTTTATCAAATGAAAAAAAAAAAATTTCTAGTTACATATACATTGGGAGCCTTTTAAGTTTACTTTGAATATACAAAATTTTATTTTATGGTTTTGAACAGTATTATATGTAATCATATTAAACTGTATTGGTGTTTGTATATCACATATATTATAAAATAGATTTTTACATACAATCTATTGTGTATTTTATTACAAGGTATTAGAGGTATGTTCTATTTTAAAATGTATTCTAAATTATGCTGTTGTTATGCTATATAATATTTAAAAGAAGATATTAAGTGTTAAACTTATAGATTATGTATTCATATATTAGGTTATTGAAACACATTAATAATTAAATCTGATTATTGCCATGTAATACAAAAATAAAACTAATTTCACCATTTTTGGCAATATTGCTTTTCTCTCATGTATGTACAATGATTTTATCTTGTAATATAATTCTAGCATACTCTGTTTTTATTAATTACATTTTTATGCTCGTTTCATTAAAAGAAAAAATGTATTATTTACACAGAATTGTAATCAATATATAACTTTTCAAGGGACTGTTAAAAAATATCATTTTGTTACAAAGCTCCAAAGTATATATTTTTAAATATTAGAAAAAAGAAAATCGAACTATCGGTAATTTTACGATCAATTCTTTAAATTACTATCAAATGTTCTTGTAATTTCTTTAAATTATTGAAACATATGTGCATCATATACTTTGACTCCAAATTGTACATACATAAAAATGTACAAAAAACAGTAAAAAGTATTATCTATATAAAGATGTACAATAAGCAAAATTTAGAGAACAGGTGGAAAATTATAATAACCAGTATTGTATACTGGTATGTATGACATTTAAGGCGTGCGATTCTGTATATGCGTGTATACATTTCCCACCCGCACATAGGAATTACATACATGTATACATACAATCATTCTCATATATATATATATATATATATTATATTGTATGTAGGTGGTTCTATTGTACTGTTAGTTGGTATTTGAAAAAACATTGTATAGTAGCTTCTGATAGAGTAATTATATTAAATGGAACAAAGTTGTAGCAAACTTATTTTATTATCAAACCTATCAAATTTAAATATAAAAAATGATATATTGCTTACTGATATTGTAAATGTTAACATAGAGATTGAAGGCACTTAGTTTGAAATTGCATCTTACACTCTTTTACAACAAGATCTATGCTTTTCAATTCTTAGTGGATGAAATTTTCTTTTGCATTTGTTACATATAACAAGCTGAGCTTGATGTTCTTCCCAGTTTACTTCAGCTTGCTTGAGTTCTAAAATAACAAAAATATATTATGTGTTTTCATTATTACATTTAGTGTTTATTTCAGCAAATTAAGTTACTAATAATTGAAGTATGTTATAATATACCTGCAGGAATTTGAGGTATATTTTCCTTTATAGAAATAATAGACATAGTTACTGAGGAATTTGAAATATTGTAAGACATTGTTTCATTATTTTGATGAACTGGTGTTCTAGGTAATTCATGTTTAGGTTTCATCGGATCAAAATTTTCACCATTCTAAAAAGATATGAAAACAATGTTTAATAATATGTTTATGTTTAAATTAATTACATAGATCTTAATTAAGCGAGTATAATACTTCAAATATATCATATGATTTATTTTTGCAATCAGTAGTTATTTTATCAGAATCTATTTCTTCTAGTTCAAATGATTTGACAGTTTCATTTGTTACATTATCTAATATTTTCTTCATATTATCTTCTACTGAAGTAGAACCACTTCCCTCTGTAAATATGTTTTTAATTTAGATGTTATCTAAAATTATAATTATTTTTTATTTTTAAATTTCTTACTTGTTGTAATAGCAGTATTAGTGGCTTTTGTTTTTTTAACTTTATTATTAGATCCTTTTCGACCATGCCTTAGAGATACCATACCATTCGTATTTTGGATATATTTATCTGTTCTTTTTTTGGTTTGTTTAAATTCATTGTTTATCTGAATTTCATTAGAGCTATATTTCCTTAATGTATGTTTTTGTATTCCTATATCATTTTGCATTCGTTTTTCTTCATTAGAAGTGGACCTAAGTTTTCTTGTATACTCAGAGCTATTCACTTCAAGACTGTTTTTCTTTGTTCTACCTCTTTGTTGCACTATAGCTTTTCCATCACTTTTATTATTTTTTATTGACGGTCTCTTCAGTTTTCTGTCTTCATTTTTTTTTTGTTTTTCTTCTTCTTCATCTTCTTCATTTGAGTCAAAAGTTAATGTTTTAGGATTACCAAAGTATAAAGATATAGATTTAAATTGTTCCATATTAGGAACTGATTCCTGTATAGTAGTATCTGGACTAAACAAACTTTTATGTGCATGAATATGAACCATATGTTTATTTACTATTTTTTTACTTTCTGTGTCTTTAGATCTCGATTCATTATGTTCTAAATTTTCTTTATTTTGATTAACATCCTTGTCTGCCTATAAAATTATAATTTTAAATTAGTATATTAAATTGTAATATTTAATTTGGAAAGCAAGTTTTACAAACTAAGAAAAAATAAAAATTATGTACTTGATTTTGGCAAGCATCATTATTGCATTTACAATATTCTCCACATTGCATACTTTTTTTTACACAACCACATATTTTAGATGAACATTTTCCTTTACAAGTACAGCCACGTGATATTAATTTGATATTTTTTCTTTGCACACTTTGATTTTGCAAATTTTTCTGTACTGTTTCATTATGTTCAAGACTTATGTCATTAGGAGATGTTGCAGATGATATAGATTTCAAAACTCTTGGAGAATTTTCAGTAGTATATTTTCTCAAATGTTCATTTTCAATTGTAAGGAGCTTCACTTGTTCCTGCAAGCGTGCTATTTCTAATATAGTATCAATTTCACGTGTTTGTGTTCCAACATTTTTCCTTGTACTAAAATAGGAATAATTGTTTTTGTGTAAGTTTTGTAAGAAATAGAAGAAATAAGAGAGAAACTTAATTTTACTAAATCATTTTATAGTGCAGAACTTAACTCTTATGGGTAAAAATAACAAGAATTATTACTTTCTTTATATTAAAATATTTAAATACGCCAATTTTAATCGAAAATAAAAATTGTAAGTACACAAATGTCAAATTTAAACGGAATTCATATTTTTAAAAATTATCTAGGAGATATTAAAGTAAATAAATTACGTACGTTTTAGCTTTTACTACTTGCGACATATTGTAAACCGAAGTACCTAAAAAATTCAGTTAAAATTGTTTGTTAAGAAACATTAAAATATAACGCTACGCGAGGTTACGTATTGGCGGTTAACAGACTATCCCACGTTTAAATTCTGACTTTGAACGTAGAGTGGCGGTGAAAGCACTGTTTTACCACGATAGTCGTTTCACGTTACTTTTTTGTTCTTGTATACAATTTACCACGTTTCAATTTATTTCTTATTAGAAACGTGTTACTTTAATAATATATATACTTGAAATTTTAATAATCATAAGAAATTAATATTATTTTAAAATATAATCTTTTGTTACTAAAGGCACCGTGTTTGTAGTCTATATATTTATAGTAAATGATAATAGTGATTATGTTACAATAAATAAATATTAATTTAATAATTCGTAATTTTTTAGTAAATATTAAAAGAAAATATAAGTACTTTTCGTTTAAATATGTTACAGAATACAAAAGTAATATAAAAGTCATTGAAATAAAATTCTTTTACGATATTTATTAATAAAAATTATAAAAATATTAAAAGGCAAAATAATAAAATAAGGCACAAAACAAAATGTTCAATAAATACCTGTTAAGAGAGACTTCAGTTTGTGACGAAAAGCGCTATTTTCATTTTGTATCGTGATAATATGGCAACTCATAATTATTTTTGATATATTACGTTAGTTAAAAATGACACGACTAATTGTATAAATAATTGTATATCTTTGATAGACATAAAAGGAAACAATACCCACAATTCACGTGTATTGCTTACATACGATTATTTTCACATTTCGCACATACAAAAATATCTGCATATGGCAAGGAAAAAAAATCAAATTTTGCAATACTTTATGCCTACATAATACTTATCGTTGTCTCTCTATTAGGTTTACATGTTGGAATCTGTAAGTTGGATCTCTTTATTGCGGCGTTTCCCAGCATTGCGATGCGTAATCTTATTTACTTAACTGATGCGGACGCATTTTCTAGCAACAACAATAAAAGAAAAAAAGAGGAAAAAAGAAAAGAAAATACGACGAGACGCTGATCAGAGCGAGGACTCGATTCCTTCTTTCTTTCAGTCGCGGTGTCTGAGGCTGCATGATTAGATAAGACCTCGGTTCATAGTGCGTCCGAGATGCAGAACGCATAAGAGACCAAGAAACCAGAGGACCGGCCTCAGTTAAAGCTGTGTGTGCATACCGGCAAATTCGTTGGCGAATCACGAGGAAGTTTTGAGTTGAAAGATCAGCGTGCGCATCGCGAGTAGCGTACACGTGCCTCGTAAGTTCCTTTTCAATCGGATTCTGTGCGAACAGTCACACATTGCTCATTTTCCAAGCCCTGTATCGGGGATAATTGATTTTTTATTTATGCACCTCTGGTTAGAGAAGTAAAGTTCGAGTCGACGTTCTTCTCCAGATCAAGCTATGAATATATTTTTCAAGAGAAAATCCGTTTACGAGACGGGCTCGTACTGATTGTAATCCCTTTAAACCTGAGTACATCCAGAGAAAAGGAAGTAACAAGAAATTAACAATGCCAGCCTGTACCAGCGAAAACTTCTCGAGGTTTTGGTCCTCGAGTCCGCCCATTTCCAGAAGCAACAGCGTGTCTCCTCCCATACCTAGTTCACCTTTGTCTACCTCGCCAACTTCGATATCACCGATATCAACTTTGAAACGATCGGTATCAAATATCTCTAATTCTTCCAATGTATCAAATATTTCAAAGTCGTCGAACAATTCGGGCACCTCTACTATCATATTTTCACCGAGACGACAGCAGCAACAGCAACAACAGCAGCAACAGAAGTTACAATTAAGTTATCAGGCACAGCCGACACAAGGACAGAATCATAATCGAAACAGTTCAATATTGCTGAGAATTTTGACTATGTATATAGATATGTTACTTGGAATACTTCAAGGTATTGTTAGCGTAATAAGTTACGCGATCTGGGCACCGGTACTCTGGGTGTCCATTTGGGTTTACATGCTATGGGTAATTTTCCAATTTCCCCTGACCACATTCAAATGGTTTCTGACTGTGCTGTACACTCCAGCTTCGGAGAGGATTCGTACCAAACGCTGTGTCCTTATCAGCGGCGGTAGCACGGTTCAGACGGTTCACCTGGCACGAAATTTTTACAAAGCTGGGGCCAGAGTTGTGATCTGCGAACTAGAAGGCCTATTCGGCTTGGCCAAGTTCTCAACTGCGTGCTCGAAATTTTATACGATTCCAAAACCAGCACCTGGAAATGCGATCGAGTATATTAAAGCTTTAAAGGACATTGTCCTAAAAGAGAAAGCTGTGTATTATATTCCGGTGAGTGCCAGTAATACGGCCTACTACGATTCTCTGGCGAAACCCTATCTGGAGGCAATGGGTTGTGAGTGTTTCGTGCCCGGTGCCAGTGAAGTGACGACTCTGGACGATCCCTTAGAACTTTTGGAAAGATGTCGTGCATTGGGCCTACCGACACCTTGTCATACCGTTTTACGGTCTATACAAGACGTTTTGAGAATGTACGAACAGAATGCGTTCGCTACTGGAAGATACTTGATGCTGGCCGCAGGTCCGGTCGGAATGAGAGATCGAGGCAAGATAGTATTGCCTCCTACTGTGAGAGAATTCAGGAATCTACAGTACGAGATTAACGAGAATAAACCTTGGATAGTACTTCGTGACCCTAACGGTAAACACTATATCACTTGCACTACGGTGAAAGATTCGAAGATCGTGGCAAACGTGAGCTGCTTGGTAGATGAAGAACGAGGCTTGATACCCGAGGAGCGATCGGAAATAGTGCAGTGGCTCAACAGATTTTTCGCTTGTTCATTTGGCATTAAGATTAACGGACACTTGAGCTTCAGATTGGCAGTGACGGAGGAAGGAGAACTTGTGCCGATCGGTTGTAGAGTAGGCGTTAGCTTGCCTTACATCTGTCACACTGGAATTCATCCTAGATTAGTATGGAGACCGTGCAGACACTTTTCTAGACAGAATTCGGGAGTATTAACTACCTCGGATAGACACTTACTCCCGGATGCAGTAACTTACGCACTGAAAAGACCAGTGGGTGAAACGGTCCCTCATCTATTGGGTACCGTACTCGACAAACGAGAAGCTCTTTTCGCTTATTGGGATCCGTTGCCATACTGTGCCTACTATCATCTTCAATTGCCATTCAGGCGTCTTGCGGGCATGATTCAAGCGCAACCGGTACAGCATAATCCACCGCTAGCGGTAGTGCAATAATTTTAGCTAAGATAATGCAAACTATCCCTTGATAAATGTTAATAGAGTCCGTTTTTTTAAAGCAGTCGCGGCATAAGATGCGTAAACAGAGTCAGAGCGAAAGAAAACAGAATGGAATATGCTCGGTCGAAAAACGAATTTGAATGGCTTTGAGCAATTTCACGAGGACAGCCAGTATTTCGGAGACACCGGTTGAACGAGCGTTCCTGCGATTGGAAACGGGAAAAAAAGAAGAAAAAAAGAAGGAAATGAAAAGATGAATCGAGCGATAGGAGAAAAAGGAGCACTCGAACGGGAAACGTGTGGGCTTCAAAGGTCAAGTTCGTCTTTATCGATGATAAGTACTTCTAAAATCGCAAAAGAAGCAGATGCGAAGTAAAAAAAGGAGAAAGAAGAAACAGAAGAAAATGAGCACGTTCGAATCACGTGCTATTACCCGTTGAACGCGCCATTTTTACGCGCCGCGATTAATGTATGTTCCTATCTTTATAGACTGGTTCAATGGCGAGAGAACCAAGTGAAAATTTCATAGCTCGTTGGGTGGAAACATTTCAATAATACTATGCACCACATTTTTTTCATTCGACGCACACGTCTTTTCTCGCGCTCAATTCAAATTTCTTTTTTCGTTTCTCCGCGTCGACAATTCAACTTTGAACCCTAGCTAGTAGATAAACGGAAACAAGCACGATGCACATGCGTGTACGCCTATACATACAAACACTATGGAACGATTTTATATTTTATATATTATATTTAATTCATTATACATCGTTGCATTGTGCTCGACAAATTGTAAATAATGTTAACTAAACTATTATTCATACTAAGCGAATATTACGATGATTCTCATTTAAGAGCGAGCAAGCTTGCAAACTATTCCCCTATTTCTTACGAATACCGAAGCGCTGCAGAATTTCTGTATTTATAGTATTTGATATTTTATAAGGAGCCGAACTAATTAAAATTCGTGTAAATACTCGTGAGCATATTATAAAAATAGCGAACGTATCAATAAAAGTTGTTCAGAACGTAATATTTTTTAATATAACGGGTTTCTCCTTATTTACTTCTCCACTAAAATTATTCCTCTTTCACTGATGAGCACCAAAGAATATTTCGAAGGACTATGGAAAAGAGCACAAGCTTTGCGGCCAGAATAGTTGAAACAACTAACGCTCTTGATCATTCAAACTCCTGAATCGATTGATTCGATTTTCATATAAGCGATTGGACGAAATCGGAAATGTTTGGTTACACAGTGCTGACGTAATTTAAGATCAGATCAAAGTCCAATGGATGTTAAAACATCGCGTTAGGGTGATCGACGAACATGTCGATAAGCTCGTCGATCAATGCATAAACGTATCTGATGCAGAAACAGCAACAAACATGTTCTCGAACAAATTTAATCGGATTGCTCGATTGTATTGCTGAAAGAGTAAATAATGTTTGCTATATATGAAAGAGTGACCTACGGGGCACCACGGCTTGACGGACTTTGAGAGGCAGGGGTCGCCGGTTCGAGAGATGCTGTCGGTATTATCTCCCATCTGCTTTTCTCCTTTCCTCTCTTGCTTTTTCTTCCCTCTTCCTTCTCGACAAATTTTTATCGTTGACTCTTGTCAATTGTCTCAACGAACATATAACTTTGTCACTAATTTCTCTTCCTCTCCCTCCTCTAGTATTTTACTTGACTTTTATGCGATAGCAAATTTGGTCATTTAGTTGAATTCTAAGATTATTTTGAACATTATTTAGGCTTTGAATCATAGAATTCATCAATTTATATCTTTTTGGATCTCAAGTTTGTCTAATCTGCTAAATGCTATGTTGGTCCATGGGAGCCAACAGTATAAAATTTTAAAAATAATACTTTGTGAAACATGTAATATTAAAAAGTATATTTACCCTTTTTTAATAGATTTTATTGAAATATCTTAAACAAAAATGGAGGATTTCCTTTATAGATATTACCAAATGATTCTTATCCATTCCTTTGCTAATTGTCTTTTACTTATACACAGACGCATTTTCTGTATTTACATATACACCACCTAAATAAAAAATAAAATAAAATTACCATCGTATTTAAGACGTTAAATAGTATTACGGTTTTGGATTATGAAATTTATCTAGTGAAATCAATTTGCATGTTTCTGGATCACAAATTTGCATAACATTATGTTATCTAACTTACGGTATAAAGAACAAATTTTTTAGCTATTGTTGATCGTTTAGGTCACCGTGGATTTCCGTGATCGCGTGACATTTGTCTCGCCCAAAAATGTGACGGAGGTTTGTAACAATGATCGTAAATATTATTGATAGGCCGTAATAGTGATAGGTGATACAAGGGTTGTTTTTAAAATGAAACCGGGTGGAATGTGAAGATCGAAAGACACAGCGACCGAGTATGTAACGCAATCTTATCATGCGATAATATTGAAATGCAGTTCCTTGACGACGGCCGGTGAAATAAATCAATACACAGACCGCGCTATTCTTTTTTTTTTACACTTCATCCAAAGGTAGCACGCAAGAGAAATTGTTCTTTCGCCAACAATGAGGTAGATTTCAGTTGCATCTTGCACGTGCAAGGAACTTGATTATTTTTCGTGATCTATAGAGAGGTTAACTACGTAGAACACAGTGGTTACAAAAAATCATTTGTTTTTTGAAAAAGCAAAGGTGAACTAGAAGGGAATTCTCAAGATAATTAGATTTTAAATATTAAAAGGAATACGATCGAAGTGTCGTCAAGTCGAGGTTAAGAACGTTGTTTAACTTGATTCCGTGAAAAAAGGGTGCTTCGTGATGGATTATTTTCGAAATAAATCATCAAATTTTTATTTCACCGTCGACCCCTGTTATCCGAGGACAGGCTTTCACAATTATCACGATTCTCTCTCTTTCATTTCTGCAGTAAAATTATCGATTTATCAATTATACACATGGTTGCCTGTAAAATATCTTGTAAGAATTCGTCATACGATTTCGATTTCTCAGAATTCATGAGCTTGATTAATTTTTGTTTACCATTGCCCGATATATTTTGCGATGCAAAATAAATGAGCTTGCGACTTCGAAAAAAATAGGTTAGAATCAAAAGGTGCAGGCTTTAGAGATGTTTGTTTGAAACTTTTCTTTCACTTTGTTTTTTCCATCGAAATCGGTTGAAGTGTTTCGTTGTGGTCGCATCATAGTTGAAAGGTATGCTAAAAGGAACCTTAAAAGCTCTTAACTTGATTTGACTGAGAGTAACAAGAAGGAAAGTCATTTTCTTAGGTAACGCGTACCACGTGGTTCCAGGCACGGTTCTGTGAGAACAGATTCACCTGACTCGCATACCAATGGTCCGCTTACTGTTACCACTTACACCTTACCGCCAATTTCCTAGTGGCAAGAACGTTTAACGCATCGATGTGATCCTTACATGGAAACGGTGCTTTACCTAAGCGATGCTTATTGACGAATATGCCTTGAGATTTGTATCTCCTATTTTTTAATCAGGGGTTGGATTATAGTTTTATGTCAGTCATATTTCGATTCTTATATTGATTTTGTTCTTGAGTTTATGATATTGTTAATATGTTTAAGATTTTTCTTAAACTATTTTAGATTTTATTATTAGTATTAATATTAATAAATTAAATTATAATATAATAATAACTAACAATATTAATTTTATAGTTAGTGTTACATCTACTGATCTTAGACTTCTATGGCCTACGGCAATTGAATTGGAAATAAATTTTCTTCCGTACGATTATTTAAAAATAAAAAGACATTGTAATTCTTAATAACTAAAGATATCGCTCACAATGGATCATCGACAACGGTAGACTTGTACAAATGTATATTGTCAAAGGTAATTGATATCATAGTTCGACAAGCAATTCTATAAATAGCCTTACAGACTCAATAAAAATATTAATTTAGTGAATCAAGATAAGAATGACATAATGTTGATATATGTATATAAAATTGTGGGCATAAACAAATAGAATGAAAAACAAATCAAAATGGGAGAGAAATATATAGAACCGACATTTTAGAAGCTGCTGCAACCATAGCAAAATCTTTGGTTCAATATTGGCGTCACTATTTTAATTATGCAACAATAATATCTTTAGTTTTAAAAGATATTGTAATGATTCAAACTATTCTTAAAAATGGAAATGTAAAATGAAAAACACTTGGAAGTCGATTAACCTGGACGATGTATCTCGTACTCAAGGTATTTTTCTGTTTCTATACATTTAACTGTTCGGTACTCGTCCAATTGGAGTAATTGCAGTCTTCACACGTTACACCAAAAGGAAAGACAACGCCATCAAAGCAATGGTACTCGCGGAATAAATCGACGGTCCTCAGCGAAATCTAGTAACCGAATGTACCCCGTACCTTTAGCTCATGGGATAGAATGTAATTAAGAACACATCATTATTTTTATGTTCCAAAAAATACGAAATTTAATTATTTTAATAATATTAAATTTTTCTTATTAATTATATTATGATAATAACTTATTAAATTATATTATAGGTATGGTATTATCTGATAAGCAACATCCATCCATCTCATGCACATATCGAACACATCCTGATAAATTTTTCGATCTATTCCATTCGAAGTCAAATCGACAAATGAGTTCAAACCATTATCTTGCGGCCTTTAAATAACTTGCAATCGCTGCTTGCCGAAGATTAACCGAAAAGTTACGATCATTACCGATTCTGTTAATAACTATCTTTCGACTATAATAGTTAACAGTATATTAATTTTTTCACTTTTATTATAAATTCATGATTTTGGTAATATATTATTAACAATGTTAATTTGTTAGCACCTTTTATAAATGATAATTACATTTAAGCCTTCATAGTATAAATTTTTATCAAAAAGTGATGGATTAAGAATAGTTATGGTACATACATATAAAAATTATACATAATGCAATTAATTATAATTCTATTATAGGAAGATACGAAATTTTGAATTGATAAATTTTTTGGACCACAAGTTTTAATTTTGTATAATTAAATTTTAAATCTATAGTACTGTTTAAGAATTAATTATTAAATATTATCTATTTGTTAATTATTCGATAATAACATTGGGCAATGTACATCTTAATATTTTACAAGTAGTTCTACAAAATTAATTAAAAATTTATTTAGAAATCGCCTGACGAGAATATCTCTTGTTTCCAGACTCGAAGTGAATTTTCAACCGTTGCCTTAAACGAAGAAAATTTAAATAGAATTTTTATCAGTGACAATCCTTATGGAAATCAATAATTATTAGGTTATCACGGCCTATCAGGGAGCATGACCGAAAGGAGGTGATTAAGTTAATAACAAGTAGTTTAATTATTTCGATAATCACATTGTTCACGCTCAGTGAATATTAAAAATTTCTAAAATCCTTTAAAAGATTCCAACCCCACGAATCATTTTGGATCACCAACGTGGTCGCTGTATTTATCAGCCAATGCGAAATTTGGCGCTCTGTCTGACCACTGCAAGATTATTCCACTTGGAGCATACGATCTCGGTAGTCTTTCAGATTCGATTTGTTGCTTCGACATATTCGCTTACTTATATAAAAGTAAGATACACGCTCCAATAAATGCATCATTTTCTTTTTTTTTTTTGCTTTTAGAACTGTCAGATGTTCTCGAGGAAACGTACACGAGGCTGTTAAAATTGCTGATATCATCAAAAGTAAATAGCATAGCTGGCTGTTTCGCGTTGGTGGAAACCAGTTAATACAGTCAGTCGAAATAACAGAAGCGAGGAACGCGATGTAAGATACCATGGTTGTATCTAATCTCTGCGACGTCGAAGAAGCGTCCGGCAGAGTGCAATGAGAGTAAATATTGTAACCAGAAGGGGGAACTTTCGGTGTATCGATGGTCGGCTATTAATACAGTCCAGTTGTTAGTACTACACGCAGCCTGTTCGATAATAAACGGTGTTTTCCATCTGTCGTCAGCCGGGATATTGGCAATTCGAACAACTTCAATTGCCTCGTTCGATCGGTCACGTGGTGTCTTCTTAATCGATTTCTGTCTATCCTGTGCCTCTCGCTTACTTCAAATCTTCGTGATTCTCCAGTCGACTAAACTTACAAGCTAAAGAATGAAATTCATCGGGTTTCTGCTCCTGTTTAATCTACTGATCGCTGTCGCGTATAAGGACGAACAGTGTCAACAGAAAACGGACGAGCAACTTATCTGGGAGTACAACGTCAGAAGATCATATAGGATCGGTGCATATCAAGTACGTACCATGTAATTCGCAATGATGTCGATGACCCGACATCTATAATTCGCGGGCGTCACTGACGCTTGTCAACTTGTAGATTAGGAGAAGCTATTTCGATATCGAATAGGATGCTCTCCGCTCGAATTGTATCAAATAGCATTATTTTTAGTTCTCGTTTTACGATTATCACCGGTCAGATTTCGCATGGTTTCCTCCACGCAACTTTATTGCTTTATACTTTTGTTATCTTCCTTTCGATAAGTACAATGTCTAAGCAAGTCTAAGCAGCCAAAGTGGATGTAAACAGAAGAATGTAAACCGCTTCGAAATGACTTCTAATATTAACTCATTCGGTTACAGGAAGTGGAAGCGGAGTATGGACCAACCAATGTAACGATCACTTGCATAGGAGTAGATTCTCTATCTGGCGAGGACAACGCAGTCATGTGGGTGACATCCGGTGGGATAGGATATAATTTCATTAAGATTAAGTTCAGGTCAAAATATTCCAGAGGATTTCATTACCGAGTTTACGTTTATGGAAGACCATACCGAATAAACAAGCCTAACTTGTTGTAACTTTTTCTGACAATAACTCGGTATAACTGTATTAAAAATGGCAACTACGAATGTACGTTGATAAAATTATTTTTCGTTACATTCATCCTTTGTTGTCTCTTGAAAGCTTCTATTGCATGATTGACGATAAGATTATGAATAATTCAATCCAGTGGAACAATGAATATCCTGAATAATTACTTCCGGTTCAATGACACTGTTGATCGTAAATCTCACAGTTGTCACGATTTCGTTGGTAAAGCTTGAATGTCGTGACCGGAATGATTGGGTCGGATAAAAGTTTTCCACGAAGGTATACGAAGATCGAGAAACCATTATTCCATGGGTACCAGCCACAGATTCCCTCCGACGACAAGTTCGACGAATAATGAATCGGGAGAAATATTTTTTCCCTGCGTGCACGGAACGGTCGTGCGATGGCCCATGCAAACCGGAACTTCCTGCTTCGCCGAGTAATTGCTGTAAGGAAATTTGTCGTTCAATAATTACACAATTCTCTTTCCTACGATGCATTCTAAAAGAGAAGTGAGAGAACGGTTGATCTAAACCGAAGACTTTTAACGATTACAAAGAATGTAAAAGGACAATATAGATATTCCGCATTTATTGGGCATTAAATTCAACGAGAGCAATTAGGAATCTCGTACTGCCATAAATCTGAAAGGATCAAATCACGAAACAACGAAACGATTTCTCGGCAGGTTGAAACTTCGACTCGCGTAAATTACGCGACAAAAATGGCGAGTATGTTATCACGAGAGCCGTTAACTGGCGTCGTTAACCGACAAAACTAAGTTCGCGATGCTACCGAAATAACGGGCTTATCCTACGCGAACAACCACCCCTAGTCTTTGGTGGATCGAGTCAGAATCGGGGAGTTCGCGTGGACACAGTTAAGCACGCGATTACACGCGATCGAGATCGGGCGGTAGGAGCATCACGACGCCGACGCGGACACCGGCAGCGACGTCGGCGTCGGCGTCGGCGTCGATGGAGCTCCAGTGAAGGCCAGCCGTTCGCCCGTGTTGAACGTGCAGTCACACCTCCACGGGCGTTAAAAGGCCCTGAAGAAACCGTATCGCCGCCAGCCATCCTCTGTCACTGAATATCATAACATCCTAGATATCGCTGATACTACTCATCTTTTCGCTACGACAAACCGCTCGAGATGTCACGGGTGAGTTGTCGCGAGGATCGTGATCACTTAATAGAACTCCGTTTGCCTGTACATGATTGTTTGTGTAGATGTTCACACGCTGCTTTGTTCATCGCGTTGCAATGATTTACTTGCCAATTATGCGATCAGTCTAGATCATCAAGTAATAACGAGTCTGTAACTCTTTGTGTGATTAATGGACTATTGATGCTTATTTGATAATTGGTTCCAGATATCAAAGAGCTTCTTTAAGACTCCTTTTTGTTTTTAATTCGTTTGTCTGATTTTCTTATACGATATTTCATGTCTGATGCGATTTTTTATTTAGCTTTTAATTACCGGCAGAATGCGCGAACGAAGTAATTTATTAGCTTCAAGAGCAGGAGGAATGTGTAACTTAAGCATTCTTAATTCACATTATCACGGACGAAGGATTAAATGCTTTATTTTAGCTCGGTCGCGTTGCACGAAGTGAAATTATTTCTGAAGTGTAGGCTCAATAGCGTTTGCCACGCAATTAATCAACAAAATCTTCGATCGCTCCAAGGGATCTCCAGGTGCAATAAACTCGGCGCCGAGAAATGAGATAATTAGCGTTACTGGTTAACTAGTTTCGCAGCGGCGAGGATTGATTGACTCCTTCCATTAACTGGGACCTGGTGTGCCGGGCAATACTATGGAGAATCGAGTAAACGAACTCGACACCGGTACTCTCGGGTTTCCACCGTTCCGCGGATAATGATCTCTGACCTATAATTGTCTATCATTAACTACCTACAATTACCAATCTAGTCAGCACGCAGCAATTACTACCCAGGACGCAGCAAATTTTACAAGCACGCTAATCTTCTAAAGTTGTAGCTGCTTCTTCGCTCGAGTATGAAGGATCAGGCGTCGTTCGTCGAATATCTCCTCGATTTTCATCGAAATATCAATGTCTCTACGATTACATTTGTCCAGCTTTCCGGGCGTTATCGATTACAGTATGGTAGAACATACGGCAGTTAAAAATTCTATATCCGGTTTGCATACGAGCAAATAATAATTAGCGGGAGTGGGTTGACCAGTGGCCAGTTTCGCAGAGATGTGACGCATCGACGAAGGGGTGACTGGTGTTCAAATATAGTAATTTGGTCAGGGCTGGCTCTGTTGGGGTTGATTTTGTCACGTGTCACAGAACCCCACTCAGACCGGTTTGCCATGTGCTGACTGGCTTATCGCGATCTCTCGCATGTTCCTTAAAGCCGCACTTCTGTTGCGTTTACAAATAATTCTTCGTTACACGTTTCAATACATTATTTTATCGAATAATAAAAAAGAAAAAATCTGTACAGAATTATTATTGAAAAATGCAGAATTACTGCTGAACGTATTGCATATCGGTAGAAGAGAGCTCCTGATGAAATATGAAATATGCGTACCCCAAGTATGTTTCCTACATGCAATCGACCGTACATATGTCGTCTTCGAAACCGGTCGATATTGCTTAACGTAATCATCGTACACGCTTTCTTTGTCATAAAACGTTGCTATGTTTTTCTCCTCGGTCGTCTCATTCGTATGAAATTGAAATTGTTTCTAAATAAATGAATTGAAACAAACGCTGAGGCAACAAAGCGCGATAGAAGCTAATATGCAGTTGCACGTTATCAAATGAAACTTGTTATAATGTCGCATTACACAGGTATTTATTCGAACGCAACGCATTTTTATCCGTATTTGTATTACGTCGCCGTAATTCTATTTCGTTGGCAGATGTCAACAGAAATAAGAAGAAACGTCATCGAGGAAGAAGAAAAAGCAGAGAAGAAAAACGTCTAATCAATTTGCACACGACTAATCACGCGTAGACAGTTCGTATTTTTTTTATTTAATTCTCGCAATCATTCCTCCACATTGCGTGAGTCGTATCGCTTAGCACGTGAACCGGACGAACGATGAACATTGACCGTGGTAATTTCCCCGGCTCCGTAAGACGTTCGCTTCGTCACGTCTCGCTGTCCTTATTAATTAACGAGTTCTCGATACAGCGGTATATTAATTTTACGCGATGGATTATAAATATAGCAAGCACGCTTGTTTCCTCAATGATATGTAACAGAGATGCGACGGAGGAATAGAAAAAGGCGCAATCTTCGATCTTTGGAATGATGCAACGTTCAAATAATAAAAGCTGGAGATACTCAGGCGCCTTTGATAGTTTGGTCCAAACGTGAATTCGCGCATGAAATCTAGTATCTAACTGTACATTGACCGTCGTTAATCTTCGCGGGTGATTTCTATCTTTTGTATTTCTCTTTTGACTCGTAGATCATCGTTGCTTATCTCGCTGTCTGTGTTTATGACGTAACCGCACTGGGTAATACTTTTGCACGACTTTGTTAAATTCCGCTCTATGGATTCACCGATTAAGTAATTGCATTACTCGTGGACAGGCTCGTTGATGCGAAAATCAATGTCCGTACCGAGCGCAATTTTATAGATGACTTGCTATTAGAAATACATCGGTCTAATAAAAATACCGTACAACGCGTGTTTGTAATTCGATTATCGCAATTATCAAGGCCACGTAAATTCCGAATCGTACAAAAAATCATCGGATTAAGCAATTGATTGACTCATTTGTTGATAAATATATATTTTAACGTATTTATAACTTACTTCTCCCCCTACCCATACTATTTTTCATCGGTATTATCGAAAGAGTGGCATACATTCGTAAATTTGTTCACATTATAATTTTATCGAGCAAAATATATTGCAAAATTTCTATCGTATCCGTTAAGCTTCGGACCAGACTATTACACTTTAAAACCTATAATTAGCTGACTTACAATTAGCATAGCAATAACGCTTTTTGTATCTTATTCGAGTCGATTAAAGGGTATCGCCATTCTTCGTCTACGCGCGAAGTTTCGTTTACATCGCAATGACATCTACGGACTCTCTTAAATGGAAACAGATATGAAGTGACGGAAGTTTCAACTCCGGCGTTGAACTATGAATCGATTAGGTATTCGAAGCATGTAATCGAAGCTCATTCTCTCATGGTCAAGGACAAGCACAGGCGTCCCTTTGTGAAACTATGTGACCGCGAATTCTCGTGCAACGAGCCCGAATTCTCTCACGCTATGCCCATTCAATGCACTTATCGCCAAAGTTGGACGCCATTCGAGCAGATTTTTGGCTCAGCTATTATTCCGTACTATTCCTCATACACAATCGATTCCCCCTTAAATCCCTCTTAAATGTAGAATAAGTTCACTTCTCGTCGCGTGATCAAGTGTTAAAGTTATTGGTCGCGAATTCGCGATATTCTTTTCCATTCGCGAGGTTGCATCATAAACGAAAATACAATTGTCGATCAGTGTTTCTGGCGAAAACCGGGCGCCCCCTGATAACAAAGACGAAGAAAAGAGAATGTTGCTGGAAAAGAATGAGTAAAATGGTTCGAAGCGTGCGCCAGTAATCGGGGTGTCGCGATAGCATTGAAAACACCGACGCTTTCCTATCTCTTCAATTACCAAAACGCCTTCTCGACGATCCTCCTCTTCTCTGGCTGTTTGGTATTCGCCATTATCTCTTTGTAGACAACAAGCGAGCCTGAAAACAAAGTCGCAGACTATTCAAAATTGTAGAAACGCATTGTATTTGGTTCTCGACTTTGCTCGGCGCGTACAGTACGTACCTTGGGGAAATATAAGAAAATAGAGGGGAAAACTATCCCGCCAAGCAGCGAAAAGCACATGATACTCCAGCGTCCTTATCAACGACGGGATAACGTGAGAAAAAAGGGACGAACACGATGGAAGAGGTGATCGCAATGACCCACGGAACCATCGTCTGCAAAAACTCGTTTAGATATGCAAGCGTGCAGTTCAGTCCGGTTCACTCGCTTCCTTCGTCGCTTTGACACGGTTCAAACTCCACGACCGCGCACCGATTACCGATTTGGCAATTTGTCGCGATTGAACGAATACGTGTACGACCGTGTAATTCTCTTACAGAACCGTTTTCGTTTCCAACAATAAAGTAGCTTCGACTTGATCCGATAGTATTACGCATACAGAGTAGTGATAAACGCCACACCTTGGACTCGCGTTAAACATCCCCATTGCGTATCGAGATTATTCTCCTTACTGCTATTACTGTTTTCTTAAATAATTCCTCTTAGTTTTCCTGTTCTCCTTACTGCTATTACTGTTTTCTCAAGTAATTCCCTCTTAGTTTTTCTATTCTCCTTACTACTATTACTGTTTTCTTAAGTAATTCCTCCTTTTAATTTAAGCGATTACATCGATATGTCTAACTTCGATAATTGGAAACCTCGTTACTAGGTCCAGTCGAAAGTCGAAAGGCGGATTCGTTTAAAATAAGTCGGTTGAACTCGCTAAATTTCGTCGTCCCATGTTTCCTGATATCGTGCAATTCGAACGAGTAATTGTCCCGAGTTTCAAACTGGATATCGTTCCGAACCGGGACACGTGATCGAACAAGGGTTGTAAATTGTCGGGCTCCAAAAACTTTTAGGCATCGTGGCGCGAGCACGAGCTAATTGTTATTACTATCGACGCGGAAGATCGAATGTACCCGACGCGGTTTATCTTGTGGTGATTATTAGTTCAGCTGCGAGATTCTCAGGAGGGTTTGCTGAAACGACGGCTTCCCATGCCGCGTGCAGTTCGTACGTTGAACTTCTCCGAGTGATTTGCACACAGAATTGATCATGCTCACCTACGATTGTCGATTTCTTCATTTTAAACACAGGAGGATGCTCGCCCTGCAAAATTAATGGTATCATCAATTGTACATTGCATTGAAAGATACGCTTAAGTATAAGAAAAACGATGAAGAAATAGGTGAGTTTAGGTGAAAATAGATGGAAATCGCTATGAAGATGAAAGAATTCACAGCGGAAGCAATATTTTACCTCGATCACAGGTTTTTCCACTATTTTAGAAACGTCTCCGCTTTGAATTAATCCGAATTGTTGATTTTGCGTCTGAATTGGTTAGGTAAGCTATCCAACGGCAGAGAGTCGTGTGCACAAAGTGGTGTGTACAAAGTCGTAGAAAAGTTGGAGCAGCGTATTCGAAGGGTGATATCCTCGTGAGGAACCAGTTCGGCCATATACATATCGATTGGTGCCATTCGGTGCCTGGTAGAGGGTCGTGCTTCTTCTACTTCCATTCGCGCAGATACCGGATACGACAAAGCTTTAACAAAAGAGGAAAATCGAGAAGTATGACTATGTACGATTCCTTTCTCTATCAATCTCTCAAGCAATTATGGCGCTCGTCACCTTTGAGAATTTCAAAATGGTCCTCGTATTGTAACTGAACTTTGCAAAAAAATGGAGGGAAGGATAGAAGTGCGAAATGATGGAAAATGGAGATGGACACGTTAGCTATGGAACCTACGTGTTTGTTCTGCTCGTGTCGATAACGATATTTTTTAAATAGCTTTGTTTATTGCTTTTATAAAGAGATTAAGTTGACCTAGTCTAACTGTAACTGCATTGGAATACGTGTAGTAGAACATGAGTTACATGTTATGCAAGTTATCTGCTTTTTATCCTTTCATTTTTCTTTTTTGTCTTCTATCATTCAAGTGTACGTGATAATTTCCTAGACGAAAAATACGGCAAGAACCGTGTTTAAAAATGATCCCCCTCCGCTTCATTGGCGTAAGTTAATTTTTGCTATTTGACGCGGTAAATTTACGTTATGCGAACATTAGCCATGAAAAATTAGAAATGACAACGAGATCGTAAAAAATAAATATTTTAAACATTACAAAAATATGTTCTAGCCATTGTCTAAAAATATTTCACAATTATCAACAAGGGGACAGATGGAAAGGCGGCGACCACCGTTTCTCAGAGGCCCCAATAAGACAAAAGAGGTAACTTCGATTTATCCTCTTTCCGTTAGTAATTAATGTAATATTTTAACTGCTATTTAGTATGCATTAGATTATGTGCATATGTATATACATATAATGAAAATTAAATATTGCTTACTAGTGAAAAATAAATATTTTAAGTATTAACATATAAATTTCGTTTTTCTAAATAATCATTTAAAGAAATACTCTAAGTTAATAATCAATTAAAAAAACATGGGTATTATTTTAATTACTATTTAATTTAATTTCATATATTATAATAGTATCATAATTGTGTTTCAACGTGTAACCAACTCGAGTAATCGAAAAGTCAGACATAACATGCATCGATGCATACGTATATACATCCGTTTATATAACGTACTTGGCTAAGCAACGGTAAACAGTAAACAGAAACATAACCTGAATCTTGAATGTATGACTTTATATTTTAATAAAAATTCAATTTTTTAAAGATATAATGAAAAATAAATGAAAACAGGTATGTAATATGTATGGTGAAAATATTAATAAGGAAACGATAGTTCTTACATTCTGTATCTATTTATTTGTAATTATATGAAGATGTGCTAACGAATCCATTATGTAATTATAATTTATTAATTAAATAATATAAAAAATTTTAATAATTTTAGAATTGTTTTCTTCTTTAAGAAAGTTTAAATAAATTTTTTTTCTTAAACTTTCAGATCTAGAATGTTATGTTATTTTACAAAGGATCAGTATTTTCATAGGTAGAAAGAAGTACAGGTGGTAAAATGGAGTCTGCAGGCAGTATAATAAGTGGGACTGGAGATTGTTTAAGCGAAGAGGATCTTTCACCAGATGCATTAGTCAGACAAAATTATGAATTACGTCATCGTCTTGAAGAAGAAACAGCTAATTATAAGAGACGTCTGGATACATATAGACAGGCACAACAACATCAGGCTGCTCTTGTTTCCCGTTTGCAAGCTAAAGTATGTCTTATAGATTTAAAATTATATTTTACAACTTAAATTACAACAATGATTCATATTTTTAGGTGTTGCAATACAAGCAAAAATGTTCAGAATTGGAAAATCAAATGGCAGAATCAGCAATATATGATTCAAACAAAGCTCCAAGTTCTGTATCTCCAACAACTTCTGTATTAGATGCAGCTCATCAAACATTAAGGGAAATTCGCGAAGAACAGATTCATGATCTAGATACTGCTTTAAAAAAACTGGGAGAGGAACGTAAAAGGTACTATCCTTTTCCTTTCTATTAATAAAACAAACTTAGAATAAATATTTAAATCTCCTTGCTTAGATGTGAAAAACTATTACAATTAAATACAACTTTAAAAGATCAGTTAGAAGAATCTCATCAAACAAATGAAGCACTTACAAATGATCTGCAGAAATTAAGCAATGATTGGGATATTTTAAGAGAAGAATTGGCTATCAAAGAAGAAGAGTGGAGAGAAGAAGAGCAAGCTTTTAATGAATATTATACTTCAGAACATAACAGATTATTAAATCTTTGGCGCGATGTTGTTTCGGTAAAACGATTATTTGCAGAGATAAAATCTAGCACAGAAAGAGACCTACTAAAAATGAAAAATAGTATTATTTCTACCTTTAATGATGTCTCATCAGCTTGCAATAACACAGGATTTGCTATGAGAATACAAGCAGCCATGCAACCAATGGTATATATATTGTTTTAAGAAGATATAACATCATTTATGTTCTGATTTTATTATATTTTAGATATCTCAGCAAGTTCAACAAGCACAGGAACAAGTTACAACTGATTTGAAAACAGAATTAACAACACTTAAACAACAGTATGATGTAGCTCAAAATGAAATTCGTATAAAAGAAGAAAAGATTAATCAACTTATTCGTGATGTTCATAGTTTGGTAAATATCAGAAATAGAATAACATAAAGAAATAGTATATAATTATAAATTATTTATATGAAATAGTAATGATTATATTTTATATTTAGGAAGAAAGATGTGGAGACGCAGAAGCAGAAGTACATCGCAATACACGTTTACAAGATGATATAGAAATTTTACAATCCGCATTGAGAGATATAGCACATGCTGTAATCCAAGATGCAGAAAATCGTGAAATCGAATCTTCTCAAGCACCTCCTCATCTTCATCTGTCACCAACTGGACCAATTCCTCAAAAATCACCGAAACGAGGTACAAGAAGCAACACCATTCCAGCCTTTGCTGAAAGTACTATCAGTGCTGTGCAAGCAGCTCTACATAAATATCAATTGACTATACATGAGCTTCAGGTGTGAAGATTTTATATTGTATGTTTCGGTAAATTGTAAAAGCACAGAATTCAATATTTAAATGTTCATTATTTTATATAATAAGATATTCCAATAATTTATTGAATTAGGTAAAATTACAAACTAATAGAGAACAATTACAAACATCTCGCAAGCAATACGAAAGCGCGGAAGAAAATGTTAAAACTTTAGAGAGAAGAGCGGAAGAACTGATTACTGAATTGGATACAGTACGGTCACATTGCTCGCAACTTAATCAAGAGAAAGACATGTTACAGAAAGGACTCGATACTGTAAGGATAGAAAAAAATGCACTTGACAAAAGCAGAGTAGAAATAAACAGTATGGTAAAATATTTTTTTTCCACTATAATAAGCGAACGTTTTACTGATCGTATTAACACAGAATATTTATTTTTAGATGGAGAATTTGAACAATGATTGCGAAAAATTGCAAAAAGCTAATAGTAAATTGCAAAAACTTTGTGATAATCTTGAAGATGAAAAATTATATCTTCAAAGTGAGCTCAGTAGATTGTCCAAAGATGTAGAATTAAGGTATGTTTATAAGAGTCATATTGCTTCAAATCATTATCAATTAATCTATATTTCAAAATTAAATAACTAGAGAACTAAATCTGCGTTCAGAAGAAGACAGATGCAGTAAAATGCGAGAGGAACTACTAACTTTACGTGAAGAATTAAATAAAGCATATCTCGCAAAAGATATGTTAGAACAACAAAAATTAGAAACAGATGGATTAATTTCACAAATTGAAAAAAGCAAAGGTGGTTTGTTATAAAGGAATATTTTTGTTATAATCTAGTACCTCTTTAATGCAGAGTAATATTTTTCTGGTTCGTCATTTAGGTGATTTAGAACTAGAATTAGAACGTGTACTACTAGAAAAGTCGGATGTGCAAGACGTTTTAATGAAACTAGAAACAGTTTGTAATAATCATGAACAAGAGAAACAACGATTACAAGACGAATTGAAAAAGGTAACGTTTTATAAAATATTCTTAATATTTATTACTGAGAATAGTTTATCAATTTTAGATAGTAGAGGAGAAAAATAAATTAGCAAGCCAATGCACTGATCAGCAAGGTGATTTAGGTTCCTTAAGAAAGGAATTACTTCAAGCAGAACAAACTAGACTCGATTTAGAATCAGAAAAAGTAACATTGAATGAAAAAGTAAAATTTTTGGAGATTGAGAAGGAAAAGATTGAAATGGAACTAGCGCAAGCTACGCGTGAGCGTGGAGATTTAAGCAATCAGCTGTCGGTTTTAGCACGGAAGAAAGAAACGTTAAACGAAGAATTAATGAGACTCAGACAAAGATTAGAACAGGCAAATGAAATGAATGGAAGAATAAACCGAAATTTAGAAGATCTTGTAAAAGACAATGAAGAGAAACAAGTGAATATTTAACGTAATTATTTCAAAATTTGTTTATTTTTTATAAATATAATTATTCTTGTTTATGTAGGTACTCTTAGAAACTAATGAGAAAGAAGTGCAGCGACTACAAGAGCAACTTGCATCAATGCGTAGTGAAAAGGAGACATTAGAAGGTGTGTTATTTGATACACAAACTAATTTAGAAAATATGCATGTAAAAAAAACGCAATTAGAAAAGGAACAAAAAGAGCTGTTAATAAAACAAGAAAGCTTAAAAGGACAAGTAGAAAGATTAATGAAGGAACTGGAAATCAGCGAGAAACGAAGTCTTGAAATAAAGCAAACTTTAACACAACAAAGTGGCGATCAAGAAGCTGAATTTCAACAAATTATTACCAATGTGAAAAAACACAGTGAAGATAGTATAAAAAAATTGAATGAAGAAAAAGTATAAAATTTATAAACGTAGATATTTGAGCTGTAATATATATTTGTAATATAATACATCTAAATTAAATTCATTTCTAGGAACAAATAAAAATGAACTTAGAAAAACGACTTCAACAATCTCTGTTGCAACTCACTGGAGAGAAAGATAACGAGATAAATCAGTTGCAACAAAGAATGGATGAAATGCAACAGCACTTAGAAAATTTATGTCAGCAGCATGAGGAAGTTCTCCTTAGAGCAGAGAATGATAAGCAGCAAGCTCTTCTCATAGGTAATAGATACTAGTAATAGATAATAATGAACAGAATATAATTTTTTTATTTTCAGCTCATCATGATCAGCAAGCATTGGTGGAAAAGCTAGAGACTGTTCTGCGTGAAATGGAAGAAGAGAAGAACAATGTAGAACGAGTTAAACGAGAAGCTGCAGCGCGTGCTGAACAAGAGCGTAACAATACAAATCAATTGCGTGATGAATTAAGTCGTCTTAAAACAAAATTAGACGAAACTAAATTAAAAGCTGATGAGGAGAAAATAAAACTTGATTTAAAAATCGAAGAATTGTGGAAAGAACGTGAATCAGCACAAAGAGAATCCGAAGAGTTGCAGGTTCAATTACACATGACGGAAGATAAAGTTGATAGCTTACAAAATCAATTGCATGAAACTATTAGAAAGCTTAAAGATGGTAGTTTTTATATTTATTTTCAAGACTGATGTATTTATTATTTCTATACTAATGAATACATATTTATAGCCGAAAACCTTAATGAATCATTGCGTAAAGAATTAGTGGATATTAGGAGGCAACTAGCTGACTCTACATATGAGAAAGAAAAATATAACAGCAGCAATAAAGAATTACGCGAGCATGTGAAACGCATCGAAAGTGAAAAGAGGGAACAAAATAGAACTTTAGAAGAATCGTATCAAAAAATTGCAGGTAATATATATTGTCATACTAAATAATTTATTATTGTATTATGTCTATTTACATTCTTTTTATATGCATTTTAAAGCATTGGAAGATACGAAAGTAAATATAGATACAGAGAGATCTCGTCTTCAAGCACAACTTCGAGATATGGAGAGAGAAACGTTACAATTACAAAAACAGCTTCATTTTAGTCAAGATGAATTGCAAAAATCTCATCAGAGCAATGCACAAGCACAAAATGATGAAAAAGAATTGCAAGCTCGACTGACTAATGAAACAGAAGAAAGAGAACGTTTGCAGCTACAATTGCATCAAGTGAAGAAACAGGTAAACCATGAAATGCTTTAAAAATGTGATTCTATGATTTCTTTTATAATTATTTTTTGAACAGCTAATGGATGTCGATAATAGTTTGAAAGTAACAAGACAAGAACTTGGAAGATTGCGTTCACGTGGAGATGAAGAGAACGAGAGATGGAGAGTTAGAGAACAAGAATTAGTAGTCCGGCTCGAAGATAGTCGATGTCGTGAAAGAAAACTCGAGGACCAAAAGCATAACTTGGAGGTTTGCTTAACTGATGCTTCTCAACAAATTCAAGAACTCAAGGTAAACCAACAATAAGAAATTTATCTGTAAACCCGAAATGAAAAATTTAATTTCATAAATTAAATAGGCACGTCTTGGAGGCTCTGAAGGGCGAGTCCGAGCTTTAGATGCTCAGTTATCGCAATTAGAAATGGCGAAAAAAGAAGTCGAGCAAAAATTAAGTAGTGTGGGTTCTACTTTACGACGGATTGCAGGTATTCAAATGGATGGTAGTGTAAATATACCCTTCAAATTAATGAGTCCGTCAAGAAGATGGAGTCCAGCAAGAGGTATGTAATTATACATTAATGCATATAGTAATTTACAATTAACACATTTCCTTTATAATTCAGCTCAAGATCACATTGATTCAACTAGAGATGTGATACTTGATGTAGATCCTGAGATTGTTAGAAAAGGTGTACGATCTCTTATGCAACAAGTAGCTCAAATCGAACGCGAAAGGGTAATTAATAAAAGACTAATATTCATTACCATAATTTGTAACTACTAATTCTACAATTATTCAAACTTTAGGATGATTATAAAACTGAATTGTGTAATCTGAAAAAACAATTAGCAGAAATTCAAGAGATTCAAAATAGGTCAGATATGCAAATAAATACTTTATTAACGAATATACGAATACTTCAGGACGAAAAAAATTCATTGGAAGTAAAACTTTCTCAAAAGCAGAGTGGCTATGAAATGCAGGTACATTTTATCTATAATATTTTCATATTTTGTTTTGTTACATACAAGTATATTTTAGTTAAATGCTTTGCAACTAAAAACAGAAGAATGCGAGCAATTACGTGAAAAAGTGATAAATCTTGAATTAATCATTAGTAGTAATTCTGAAGAGAAAGCACAGTCTGAGGTAAGAATATTCGACAATTTCTTGAGTAAAATATTTCTAGTTTAATGTTATACAATTGATAATTGTGCAGGAAAGAATGGATAAGTTGAAACAAGCTTTAAGCAAAATAGAAAATGAAAAACGTAATCTGCAGGAGGAACTTAACAGAAGCGAGTCTCGCGCTACAAAATTAGAATTACAAAGAATGTCATTAGAAGGTGACCTTCAGAGGTTGCAAATGATGTTTCAAGAAAAAGATACAAATATTCATGTGTGTTAGCTGTATAATTTTTAATATTATATTAAGATACAGTAAATATTATTCCTTATTAATTTTATAGAAATTACAAGAACGAAATGATATGCAGAATCGGGCAATGTCAAGTTTAGAAGAACGTTGTGCTTCGTTAAAGTCTACGATAGAACAATTAAATCTTGCATTGGAAAAAGCATCTACTACAGAAAACGAATTAAAGAATGAAATTAATTCATTGCATCACAATATCATGGAATTAACAACTACTTTACAGACTTCTAATGAAAAGAATAAACAGGTATCAATGTAAAAAATCATTTACAAGAAATCATTGTAGTATCTAAATCATTATTTATTGTATTGTAGTTACAAAAACAACTTACAAATGCTGAAAATGAACGCAGAATTCTGTCTGAACGCGTTGAGTCTATGCAACAATCTTTGAGTGATCTAAAACACACAAATCAAACGTTAACAGATCAAATTACTCGTTTACAAAATGAATTAGCAAATAATGAAGTACAACGTTGTGCCTTAGAATCTCAATTGAGAATAGTTGCTTATCCTCAAGAAGAAAGTACAAATAAAGATGAAGAATTATTACGACAGCTACAAATAGCGCAAAGAGACAGAAGTGAAATGAGAGGGAAAGTGGAAGCTCTTAATGATAAGGTAAATATTTATAACAACAGCCAGGAAGAAAAGATAATAATTTTGTATACTTTAGGTGAAATTATTAGAAACTGACAAACGTAATTTAGAACGGCAGTTATCGTTACTTAAATCGACTAACCGTAGCAAAAGTTACGAGCGTTCTGAAAAAGCACATGCAGAATTGTTAGGCACAAGTTTTGATATAGATCACTATGAACAAGAAAACAGAGAATTAAGATTGAAAGTCCGTAGATTAGAAACACAACTTGCAGAGAAGGAGGCTGAGCTTATAAGAATGAAATCCAGTTACAGTCACACGCATTCGATATTTGATTTTAGTCGAGATAGAAGTGGAGAAATCGAAAGACTTAGAGCAGCTCAGTTGCAAGCTGAGAAATTATTGGAAGCGAGAGAACAAAGTCATCGTCAACAAGTTTTACGTTTGGAAAATCAGGTATTAAGTTTTACTTGTGTTTATATAACAATTATTATAATTTTATTTATAAATAAATGTATAAATAATAGATACAACTGCTACGCGAACAACTTAATCAAGAAATAAAACGTCGACAATTATACGTCTTACGAAGTTCAAGAGCTGGCAGAGAAATGCAACAATTACGACAAGCTTTAGGTGATTCTTTGAGAACTGTAGCACAAGATCCGTCATTAGACGCAGTATTATTAGAACATGAAGCTCGGAAATTGGATTCTACTTTAACAAGTACTACCAGTTTACCGCCATCATTAGCTTTACCTCCACCACCGTCTTACGATAGATCTTCCACACCAGCACAGCTCAAATAAGTTATAATGTTGTTTCAGACTGAATCAGATGTGGAAACTGCCAATGTATATTCAATGATACAAGACAAGTAGCATACAATAATTCTTCCGTATATGGGAACATGATTTGACATGTCTTATGCTAGTCACAAGTACTTAAAATTTATTATCATAGGTTATTTGAAGACCAGTAATTAATATAACATTTTGATAATAGTACTTTAATATCTTTCAACTTTTACATACATTTTTTATACAAATTTGGAACTGATTATCTACAAACTTATTCCATATTTTAAATTGTAATGTACATTTATAACAGTACAATATTCTAGGTGCCTCCAAATTATTCTGATATCACAGAATAACTTTATTATTGGATATATTCGTTTTTTTAAAATCATTTCTATATCACACATTACAAAATTTTATAAGAATGAAAGTTTGCGAAAATCTATTTCCAATCCGTCCATAGATTACACTAATTTCAACATTTTGTTGTAATTTTTATGTATAAGTTATTTGTTAATTTATTATAATATTATATTGTTATTTTAAGAATATATATTTGGATTATCGAGCGTATGCTTAGGATTCATATAATGAAAAGCACTTTTGAAGTAAGTTGTAATGGTAAGGATAATGCTATCTTTAGTCTCGTCTCGAGACCAAAGAGAATCACCAAACAAAAGCATTGTAGAGATATGCTTCTGATTGTTTGATAGATGAGTTATTGAAATCTAATACAGCATAGAATGTAGAGAATGGTATATTGTTATGAAAAAGTACCAAAAGTAACATGCATAGTTGGCAAATAATGGATTGTGTCTATTCTTTATTGATAAGAATATAGACAACTAATCCAGCCAAAATATTCAGCTGATTCAATTGAACCATCCTGTTTGTAGATTAGAGAAACTTAAAATATTTATAAATTATTATTTATTGCATCTTTAGAAAAATTGAATATTGTAAAAAAATTTAACATCATATAACAATTAAAAATGTCCAATAGGTTAATTGTAATGAACATTGTTTTATGAACGTTACTTTTTTATTGATTGTAATCTATAATGATTTTCTTAAAATTTATGTTTTCACAAATACAAGTTACCATTGTTCAAATTCAATATAATTTCAATCATAATGTCAATATAAAAAATTTGTACTTTTGGACTGATAAAGTATATCAAACAAGAAGCTTATATAATACTAGTCATGAAAAATAATGTTATAATATATTATTATTATTATTATTATTATTATTATTATTATTATATGATGTGTTAATTAATGTTCACTTTTGTAGAAATACATATAGTATACATATATACATATGTATATATATGCATATCTAATAAATTATTGGGCAATTGATTGTAGTTTTTTAAGTAACGTTATTTGAACTATTTTAAATATTAAATGACAAGAGAAAGAAATTATTAATAACAACATCAGTATCATAAATATTGTTGGAAAACATCAATAAAAGTATTATATAAAACATGGTTATAAATATCGAAAAATTAAAGTACATTCTAAATCATACATAAGTTTCACTCACGTGACTTTAAATTAGTGCGCAAATTTATTTTTTAGCTTCATTCACCAATTTAGTACTTCAAAATTATATAAAGAAATAACACAGTACTATGAGAAATTCTCTGATTTTGATCGTAATTTGAATTTTATAACGCGCCAAAGACTTCATTTTAAAATGTATAACTGTGACTGTGATTGATTGGTTGATATGATTGATTAGAAGTAAAAGGCTCTGTTAATATATTTTTCGACATTTATTATTATATTTTCAGTTTATATATTATTGCAATTAGTATTTTTCATATATTGTATACCATGAAATAAAATTATGTATAATCCTATATTTATTATTTTTTCATTAATTAAAAAGAAAGATCAATAATGTAATATAATTTAAAATTATATTTCTAGAGTTTTATTAGCACTTACAAGGAGAGTGCAAGTCCTTCGGGTCACCGATTTAGTTGAAAGATTGCAGGTTTGTAGATATCGTCATGCAGTTAAAGAAAATATATCATTATAGCCTCAACTACTAAATAATTTTTTAGATATTTACAGTTAAAGTTTTATTACTTCTGTATTTACAGATTTAATTCGAATGGATTTTAAGACATTCGAGAATTTCTATGCTTTGGAGAACATTGTAAACAAAGAATTGTAAATAAAATTTCTTAATAAAAAAATTTTTTACTCTTTCTTATGCTAGTATATATTTATTGCAAAATAGTAAGAATATTATGCAAGAAAAATACTTTTTCATAGCAATCTTATTTACTACATTAATAAATATAAGAAACATCGTTTGATATTTTACTTTGATACTTTAGCACATGGCTATTTCAAAGACGAAGCATCTTCCCGCGAAAACGAGGCACAGCTTTGACCAATCGCAGAACACTTCTAGTCGATATGAACTCAACATGCCAGTAGCACATGGTGGAATATTCACACGTGTCACAGTGAAACTTTCAGTTCCTGAACAAAACGTTTCACGAAATAGTGTTATCCTTGATCAGTCTTTTAATTACTGCAACTGATTAAAGGAATATTCAAGAACAGTAATAGGCAGTATCAGTTATTATTTCGGGACATTGAACAACATTTGCAGCATCGTCGTGATCTATATGAAAGGACGACAATACAAGTTTAAGGAATAGATAGAACTTTACCAAGAACGGGATAAATAATTGTGAACATTTGTTCGGTGGTAACATACCTCCTGTGGAAAAAAGTGAAGGTGCACATGTGAAATATAGTGACGGAAGTACATGTGCTTGTGAAATCGTGCTACACAGTTTGATTTTATCGTTTATATTTCCGTAATTAGGCTTTCAGATTAGGTTTCTTCACTATACAGCGTTGATTACGCTTTTCTCTAACTCGTGTGCCGATTTTTCTACGATTTTCACCATTCTGTTCGAAATTTAGAGACGAAAGTGTCAGTTGCTGTGAAATCGTATTGCGTAATAGACTTTTTTGGCTCCTATTTCCGTAATTAGGCGTTTCGGTTAGGTTTTTTCTATATAACAGTGTAGAGTGGAATTTTATCTAACGGCATTAGATATTTTTTTTTGGTTTCGAGCGTGCGTTTTCGAGAAATAGTGCCAAATCTGTCTATGGCTGTGAAATCGTGCTGCGTAATAGATTTTTTCCTTTTCTATTTGCGAAATTAGACTTTTTGATTAGATTTGTTCTATATATTCGCGTAGAGGGAATTTTTCCTTAACGGGATTGGATATTTTTTTTCGGATTCGAGCGTGCGTTTTTGAGAAATAGTGCCGGAAGCGTCAGTGACTGTCAGATCGTGCTGCGCAATTTACTTTTTTGGCTTCTAGTTTTTGAATTAGGCTTTTTGGATCGGATTTTTCCACTGATTCGCGTAGAGTGATCTTTTCCTTAACGGGATTGGATATTTTTTTTCGGATTGGAGCGTGTGTTTTCGAGAAATAGTGCCGGAAGTGTCAGTGGCTCTCAGATCGTGCTACGCAATAGACTTTTTCCTTTTCTATTTGCGAAATTAGGCTTTTTGATTAGGTTTGTTCTATATATTCGCGTAGAGGGAATTTTTCCTTAACGGGATTGGATATTTTTTATCGGTTTCGAGCGTGCGTTTTCGAGAAATAGTGCCGGAAGCGTCAGTGGCTGTCAGATCGTGCTGCGCAATTTACTTTTTTGGCTTCTAGTTTTTGAATTAGGCTTTTTGGATCGGATTTTTCCACTGATTCGCGTAGAGTGATCTTTTCCTTAACGGGATTGGATATTTTTTTTCGGATTGGAGCGTGTGTTTTCGAGAAATAGTGCCGGAAGTGTCAGTGGCTCTCAGATCGTGCTACGCAATAGACTTTTTCCTTTTCTATTTGCGAAATTAGGCTTTTTGATTAGGTTTGTTCTATATATTCGCGTAGAGGGAATTTTTCCTTAACGGGATTGGATATTTTTTATCGGATTCGAACGTGTGTTTTCGAGAAATAGTGCCGGAAGTGTCAATGGCTCTCAGATCGTGCTGCGCAATAGCCTTTTTCCTTTTTTATTTGCGAAATTAGGCTTTTTGATTAGGTTTGTTCTATATATTCGCGTAGGGGGAACTCTCATTTAACGGGATTGGATATTTTTTTCGTGATTCGAGCATGCGTTTTCGAAAAATAGTGGGTAAAGTGTTAGTGGCCGTCAGATCGTGCTGCGCAATTTACTTTTTTGGCTTCTAGTTTTTGAATTAGGCTTTTTGAATCGGGTTTTTCCACATAATCGCGTAGAGTGATCTTTTCCATAACCGTATTGTATATTTTTTTTCGGTTTCGAGCGTGCCTGCATCACGCAATCGAATGTGCCTTTGTATTAACATAACCTTTAGTTTCATTGTTTAAGTAAAATAATAAATCCACAGGTTATGGACCCAGAGAGCAGACCACATGTTTGAGTGCAGAAAATAAAAGTCGAGAAGTAAAGTGGAATTATCAATAGGTGAGAGGATGGAGATGTACATCTTATTTGGAAATTTAGAGTGGCCGTCATAGTATGGTCTTAAGGTGTCTATCAATATGTAATTGAAGAACTAAGAAATGTAGAAAACTGCAAAGGAGAGTTGTGAACAATGTGTAATTACAAAATCAGATAATTTCAATCATAGGGAAGGTACTGATACTTGATGTACCAACTTGTATCTCATGCCATGAGATATGTGTAAAATATAACAATATCTATGAGAAGAATACAGGACAGCAATGATATTCTGTTACAGGGGAATTTTTCATGGATAAATGTAAATTTAAACTTTATATAGTAACGCACATTATGTGACTGACAGGTAAGTTTTCAAATTACATGCATTGGAACGTAAGATAGAATATATAATACTTATAACTAAAATCTTAACTACATTGCCACACAGGTATTGTCCATTTGCAAGTATCTGAAAGTTAATGCCAAAAGAAGAGAAAAGAATAAATGATTTCTCATCTCAACAGATTGCAAAGGAAGTAAATGGAAAGGCTGATCAAAATGAATCTGTAGTCTTCAAAGCGCAGGAGAAGAGGTGATTCAAGTGCAACTCCCTTAGACATCTTGCACATACATATTGAAGAAACAATAAAGGTAACAAAGAAATTAAAGGTTTCAGTTTTGAAAGATTAAGATAAAATCAGAATAATTTCGAGGATTAGGAAGAAAAGACAAGAATTCAGAAGTGTACTCTCCGTGTGGGACATGTAAGAAGTTTAATTATTTGGAAAAAATCATTTGGATTGTTATTTTAAAAGCAAAATGGAAAGAAAAGGAAATCAAGTAGAAAAGAAGAAAGTGTGCTTCTTGACAGAGAGCAGTGGATAAAACAATGAATTTTGGACTCGAGAACAACCAGCCATATGGTGAACAACCTAGAATAGGAAGAAATAGGAACAGAATTTGGATCAGTAAAGAGAAACATTTTCATGGAAACTATAGAAATAAGGCAAAGATGAGGTAGATAGTATATTTGAAAATATTCTATATGTTTCAAACTTGAGACAGAATTTAATGTCAATACATCTGATAACTCAAAAGGATGGTAAGATAATGTTATTGAAACATAATGTAATAGTTTATATGAAGAATTAAAAAATATTTGTAGGGCATATGTGTATCAATTTACTTTATGATGTGGACGAATCAAAAGCAAAAATACAGGCTAGAGCATTACTAGAAGAGAGGAACAAGAAGCTGGTAGTGGTATAGAAAATTGGGCCATCCATGAAAAGAGTACTAAAGGCAAGAATTGGAGAATGCAGGATACTTTTTTTTATGCAAAACAATTGAAAACACCATTTGGAGAGACAAGAACAGGGACAAAAGGGCAGCTTGAAATTATACATTCTTATATATGTGGACCTATAGAATGAGAGACATGGAACAGGAATAGGTACGCGATGACAGTCTTAAATTTGACTAATTTCGTGATGATGTATCTTATGGAATTATGTACTAAAGCATTACAGAGATTGTTTAAGTATATTGCAGCAGCAGAAGTAAAATAGAATAACACACAGACCTAGATGCGATAATGGAAGCAGAATAAAAGTTCTGCAAAAGCAATAAATACAACTGCATATGGAAAGTGGGCAAGAGAAAAATTTCACATACGAATCACGCGTTTTTGGAGAAACTAATATTCTTCGAAATCTGAGAGTAATAGTGTAATTTCGTTTGCAGATTCGTTTTAAGGAAATTAAATTCTGCAAGAATTACCCAATGAATATTACAAATTAAGTTTTGTTTTGTACAGTATAGTTAAATAAATGATACCGCATAATCTTTGTACCAAGAGTTTGGTTCATTTCAATATTAGAATTACTAAAGTTTTCTAGTGCATAAAATATTTCAAATTTATAGCTGTGTTTGGCAAAAGTTAGTATTGATTTCATTCAGATAGGAAGGTAATTATACACACTTATATCTTTTATGCATTTGAACTCTTTGGTAAATCTGGATAAATTAATTCCCTTTTAATTAATTCGGAATAATTATTGCATAGAGGGTGAACTGATATCGAAGATAATATAGATTTTTCATTAATTACTATATTTTATACAAGTAGTTTCCGAATTACATGTATACATTACAAAGACTAATTTGCAAACAGTTTATAAGTTATTACACAGATTATTAGTAACAAATTAAGATTAATAATAACAAATTGTTCACGAAGGAAGTTTATAATAAAAATGAAAAAATTAATAAATTATTGGCTAATATTTGAACATATAACATGTGCTTGTGCTAAAATGTACTTATAATTTGCAAAAAGGTTATAAGTAATTATGCTCATTGTTAATAACAAATTAATATCGTTAATAACAAATTGTCCATAGCGTAAATTTATAATAAAAGTAAAAGATTTAATAAATCATTGGTTGTCACTTAAAAAATATCATACCAATGTATAAATGAACCTATAATTTGCAAAAATGTAAAAATTATTGCACTTATTTTTAATAACAAATTGCTCACAACGTAAGTTTATAATACAAATGGAGAAATTACTAAATTATAGGCTATTACTAGTATATATAACGTATTTACATGAAAATGTATCTATAATTAGCAAAAAGTTAATAAGTTACTACATTTATTGTTAAGAACAAATATTTTGCAACTTATATTAACGATAAAAGTAAAAAAATTAATAAATTATTGCCTACTACTTAAACAAACTACGTATTTGTGTTAGAATATATTCGGAACTTACAAGAAGTTAATAAATTAATAAATTTATTGTTAATAACAAATTAAAATTGTCGATAACAAATAGTTTGCAACGTATATTAACGATAAATGTCAAGAAAGTTAATAAATTATTAGTTATTACAGCGGAAAAGTAACTTTTAAAGGAATCGATAAAGTTCGGAAATTTTCGCCGATCTTCGCCCGGCCGCCGCTATATAAGGAGCCCGCGTGCAGGCTCGAGCCAGTTGTCGTTTCGACTTCGGAAGGACCGCGTTAATATTCTTTCTTTTTGTTTCAGGTTTTAATTATTTCTTCTTTCAGATTCTATTTCTTTTATTCTAGATTTCATTGTTTGTGCATTCAAGTGTTTTGTACACTATGCGAATGCTTCGTCGTTGGTTTATTTGTATATCATCGTTGGCTTGATCAATGGCTATTCAATGGCCATTGTCTACTCTCTTGAATAATTTAATAATAATTTCTTCTTTCAGGTACTAATTATTTTTTGTTTCAGGTTTTAATTATCTTTCTTCTTTCAGATTCTATTTCTTTTATTCTAGGTTTCATTGTTTGTGCATTCGAGTATTTTGCACAATATTGGAATACTTCGTTGTTGGTTTATTTGTATATCATCGTTGGCTAAATCAATGGCTATTCAGTAGCCATTATCCACTCTCTTAAATAATTTAACAATAATTTATTCTTTCAGGTACTAATCATTTTTCTTCTTGCAGATTTTATTTTTTTCATTCTATGTGTCTTTGTTTCAGCATTCGAGTATTTCGTATAATATTCGAATGCTTCGTCGTTGGTTTACTTATGTCTCATCGTTGGCTAAATCTTTCCTTTCACAAATTTTACGACTTCCGTTCGATTTGTTTTCGTTAGAGCGTTCGAGTATTTCGTATAATACTCGAGCGCTTCCTCGTTGGTATGTTTATATCTCA